CCCAGACTGGAGTGCAGTGGCCGCTCCCGGCCACCACAGCCTCAACCTGCTGGGCTCCGGTGATCCTTCCACCTCAGCCTTCCAAGTAGCTGGAACGACAGGCGCGCACTACCACGCCCAGCTAGTTTTTGATTTATTGTAGAGATGAGGTCTCGCCAAGTTGCCCAGGCGGGTCTCGAACCTGCGGGCTCAGGCAGTCCACTCACCTCAGCCTCCCAAAGGCACGGGATTACGGGCTGAGCCACCGAGCCCGGCTTTGAAACTTTTTTTTTTTTTTAAAGATTAAGTCTCATCCTTTACTAGAGTGTGAGCTCCCAAAGGTAGACCAAACCTTATCTTGTTATTCCCTAGTGCTTAACACAGTGTGTTCCAGGTAAAGAGCAATCTGTTAATGTTGGAAAAGGCTGGTGCTAGAGCCAAAGGCTATTGACTAGAAAGACTTCTTGCCTGAGGAAAATAAAGGGCTGGATTGGAAAGGAAAATAGGATAGCCTTTATCAAGGAAGTGAAGAGATTCTGTTCCTTCTGAAGGAGCATTAATGATTCAGTGCAAGCCAGCCCTCTTCCCCCTGTGTCCTCAGGAATCCGGAGACGATGAGTATCAAGGAGACCAGTCAGATACAGAAGATGAGGTGGACTCTGACTTTGACATAGATGAAGGGGATGAACCATCCAGTGATGGAGAAGCAGAAGAGCCAAGAAGGAAGCGCCGAGTAGTCACCAAAGCCTATAAGGTACAGAGGGAATCTTACTTTTCCTAGACTTAATTCCTTTTCTCCCCTTTATCAGTTCGCAATACTCCCCACACTGGTCCCATTTCCCATAATGCTAGGGTTCTCTAGTTGAGATCCTCATCATCTTTCTTATTATCTCTTTCGTTCCTCCATGTCTGATTCCAATCTGTCCCCAGGAGCCTCTTAAGAGCTTGAGGCCTCGAAAGGTCAACACCCCAGCTGGTAGCTCTCAGAAGGCCCGAGAAGAGAAGGCACTGCTACCACTAGAACTACAGGATGATGGTTCTGACAGTGAGTAGTAATATTTGAGTACATTGGCAAAATTGGAATAAGGAATTAATGTATCAATCGGTTTTAAATTTACTCTTGTTGATTACCATGGTTATATAAGGAAAATCCCTATTCTTAGGAAATATACACTAAAGTATTTTGGGGTGGAGGCCATGACGCGTGCAACTTACTCTCAGATCAGTCAGAAAAAACACACACACAAAAATACAAAGGAGGCAAAATGTTATCAGTAGTTGATGTGAGTAAAAAATATGTGCGTGTTCTTTGTACTATTCTTGCAGCTTTGTAAGTTTGAAATTATTTCCAAATAAAAAGTTTAAAAAATAGATAAAGTGGGTGGACATAAATTCAAAGATTTCTTCTCATCTGGCTCTTTTCCCAGGTCGGAAGTCCATGCGTCAGTCTACAGCTGAGCATACACGACAAACATTCCTTCGGGTACAGGAGAGGCAGGGCCAGTCCCGCCGGCGAAAGGGGCCTCACTGTGAGCGGCCACTGACCCAGGAGGAGCTGCTCAGGGAGGCCAAGATCACAGAAGAACTCAATTTACGTTCGCTGGGTCAGTCTATGGTTTTGGAAAAAAGTGGGTAGAGGGGCTAAGGAGCATGAAAAAAACCACGAGACCTGGAGAACCGGAGAACTGGAGAGATGGAAATGTGGGATGAGAGAATCAGAAGAAAGAAATGGGAGAGTAGGTAATGAGGAGCAAGAACCTAGCAGTTACAAGGTCTCTGAACAAGCTATGTTGGGGTACTTTGATGTAAACTAAGATTTGTATAGAACTGAGTTCAGATCCTGGTTCTGCCATTCTTTTTTTTTTCTTTTTTTTTTTTTTGAGTTGGAGTCTTACTCTGTC